GATATCGATGTAAAACTGTCCTAGGAGGAGCGTGGGAAATCTCGACTGTGATCTTGTAGGGTCGCAGGTCGCCTATGATCACGCTGTGATTCCGCCTGACTAGAAGATATCGGTGACATGGTTCAAGCAGATTTGGCGAGAGATCAATAGCCACGGTACAGGTGCCCGCTCTCATGGCAGTAGAGTGGAGGTACCACCTGGCGGCATTCGGAGCGATGACTCATCGTGGGAATGGAGGCATTTTCAAAATCATTCGTTTGCCCGGTGCGCATGCACGACGGCGATTGGGAAATGAAATGCGAGAATATTTGAGCACGGTTATCAGAGCAGTGCCCTCCGAGCGAAAAGAAGTATGTATCAGTTGAGATGGGAGATGTACTCTGAGTGGAAGCGTATGGTAAGGGTGACTTGTAAGGATGATGTATTGGCTACTGATAAAAATTAGGTAGAGTAAGAAAAACTAAAGAACCTTCAGCATAGCAAGCAAACAAACTATGGATATAAATTATTGTATTTTAAAAAATACCATGCATGCATAAAAAAGCTTAAAGATAATTTTGAGAAAATGGAAAAACGTACGTAATATGACAATTGATGTGTGTTAGGCAAGCGATATATAATTATAATAAGTAGGTACGCTTGTCCCAGCTTAGCGCTGAACGGTTCTTGCCCTGCTCGTCGTATGGTAGGCACCGACATGGTTTACTGGATCCATGTGATTGTTTGGCTGGCTCGAAAGGGCGTAGGATGCGGATGTAGTTTTGTGATGGAGGTGTGCGATGAGGTTTCGCCAGGATCTTCTTCGTTGTGGCGGTCATGGTCGTGTGCGTTTGTGAAGAGAAGCCGCATCGCGTGCTAATTCACGCATTGCTGTTAGTAGCGGTACGCAATCAGTTGCGTATTTGGATAAGTTGATGTGTCTGAGCATTGTGACTCCTAAGTAGAGGTAGCTCTATGTCTACATCTCCAATCTGCATTATTTTGATAATGGTTTTGAAAGTAGGAATTGAGAAAGTTAAGCAGGGAAGCGAGCAAATGCTGTGTAGGCAAGATATGCTCATGGTGACCCTATTCATGTAAAGTAACCCTTGCAAATTAACTGTCTAATAAATCTTTGAACACTTTAAATCTTTTTGAATTTAAGGCACAACACAACTCCAAATAACTTAAAGGATTCACTATGAAAAAGCATGAAAAAAACTACGGCCAAGAAGATTTTAAAAAGGGTGACATTAAGAAATAATATTGTGAGCGTCGCATTTATTCGAATATAATGCCATGAGGTCTTCCTTCAAAAGAGGAGATGGTATCAGTGAAGAGGAGATGGTATAAGTGGTAGCCGTTTCTCTTGGTTATGGGTTCGAAGGTTGAAATACTCTTTAGCTGAAAAAACATCAGATGTCCAATAGAGTACCTTGTAATGAAGACCGCGCATGTGAGTTATCCTGGCAAACTGGAAGAAACCCTCCTGTCTAAGGGATGAACCCTAACACCAGATAATCCGAAATGCACATTTTAAACAGAAATTTGTATACTTTGTCATAGCTGTTA